AACTCCCCCAATTTTCTTAGATCACCATTTTTTGGGCGTTTTCCCCAGATTTTCCCCAGTTTTTTTGTAGAAATCCAGGTGGCAGCCGTCCGGGTCGGTGGTCTCAGGAATATCAGCTACCCTCCTGCCTTGGAGAGCACGTGGGTCGATTGGGCTGAGCACACCTTGATACTTGGAGAGCAACGTGACGAGATGCCAGTCTTGCCAAGGTGCCTAGTAGATCTGCTTAGTTGGCCAGATAATTTAGATATGATATGTATATATATATATATATAATATGTATGCATATATATACATATTATATATACATATTATATATATATACATATTAAATATATATATATACATATTGTATATATACGTATTATATATATATACATATTATATATATACATATTACATATATACATATCATATATATATATAATTACATATCATATATCTATACATATACATAGTATACATATATATATATTTTTTATAATGATCTAGAAAAACACATATGTGGATTAGTTGATTGACTTGGATGTTCCTGGAAGCTTAACTTGGGATTGGAAGTGCAGGCTCACTGCGATTTGCAATCGGATGGCGTCAACAATTTTGAGAGGTATGTAACGTTTTTGTCAATATAATTGCTCACCATGACGTTTTACGCCCAGAATCATACAAGTGAAAGTGGTACTTATGGCTGATTTAGCTCTTTTGTCGTGTCATGCAGACCACAATGTTTGTGATTGTCAGTGCCACGAAGCAAAGTGCTCATTCTCAACCCTTCGCAGGAAACATCATGCAACGTACATATATATGTATGAAAATAAGATATATCCACATAATCTATGGCTTTTCTACGATTCACCACGGGATTTGGTACCACATTTTCAGACCTTTCGCCACCTCGACTGAAATCCCGATCACCTTCAAAGGTGGATCCAAATCTGCCCTCTTAATATACGGCCAGCATTTGCACGGAATAAGGGCTGTGAACTGGTAAAAACAAGGATTCGCATGATAATTCATTAAACGTTGGAGCAAGATCACTCTATATATCAAAACACAACTATTACAGCAGTAAATATTAAGTTACTGAACTATCAATCAGGCATGAGCTAACCCCAGAAGATCTCAAAAGATGGGTTCTTCATCGGTGCCGCCGGGCGCCATTTGTGTACTGGCCTCTGATACTTCGCCCTTAAAGGATGTTGTGCTAACCATTCATTAGAATGTTCCTAGATGGTTCCATTTTCTGTAAACTGCCCCCGGGTGGTTGGGTTTTTAATCCCATCAAACTATACCTCTAACATCCTATAACTACCATAAACTCTAGTTAGCCTAGTTAGTTCAACAACCACCTTGTAGCAATCGGTATCTATATTCCCAACCACGAGGCAAAGGACCTACGGATAAAGACTCCCAACCACATGATAGAATCGTTTTTTAGGTGTTCACTTTAATTTATGGTATATTTATATATTATTATATATACGTAGTATATATGTATATATTATATAGAGATATCTACACATATTGATTTCTCATGTATTCTAGCGTTCCATGGGGTTTATACACCATTTTCTAACTGGCGGAAGCCCAGGGGCCCAGGGCCGCATCAGGACACAGGGCATTCTTCAGTTCCAACAGCAATTCTTAGAGCCTCAGGGAGTCCCTTGGCAACGCTACGGGTCGAGGGCTCCTCTGGGATCGGTCCTCGGGTATGAAGCCGTTTCTTGGTGAACTAGCCACGGATTGTAAGTGGTAAAGGTTCACGCCAGTTTGAGTGGACTATGCCTACTTATCCTGGTTGGTGGTTTGGAACATTTGGATTCTTTTTCCATATGTTTGGAATACTGATCCCAACTGACGAACTCATATTTTTCAGAGGGGTTGAAACCACCAACCAGTATCCCATTTAACAACCAGGCTTTTAACCCACTTACGATCCGCGGGATGAACCCTCAAGTAGTAAGTCCCCTAACTGATTACTGTAACTGGATGATGCCCATAACTGGGTGAACTAACTATGGTTATTATAACCCGTTACGATCCGTGGGGTGATCCTCTAAGCCCCAATCATACAGCCATATTGGGCCCTGTGAAGGAATAGGTCTAGCTCAAATTCACATCACGGGATTCCAAGGAGGTATTCGGATTAGCCAGCAGAAAAAAACGGATTGATCAGTAGAAAAAACATGATGAATTTTGGAATTATGGATGGATATGGATGGTTAAAAAAACCACATGGGTATGGATCAAGATTGGGTACCCCAATCCCAGAGTTGGATGCTAAAGTTTCGCCAAATCTGCGCAGAGCGGCTCAGGTTTATGACTGGCTGATTGGCCAGCGCTGCATGGTTGGCGCAGACACAGTTTGCTTCACTGATGCGGTGCCGGGATGGGAGGATGGTGGCAACCCAGCTGGGTGTGCAAATGGGGCATTTTGATAGGGAAAATGATGGTAAACCATGGGATTTTGGGGTGTCATGGTTTCAGACAAACCTAGTTGGAACATGCAACGGGAAGAGGCGGATAGGCAGGAAGTTCTCCAGTTTTTCCGGTTTGAGATCCAGCACCCCTTAATTCATTGATCAGCTAATTCGTAGTCATAGCTATGTGTACCTAACTATAATTACAAGGTAACAAATATCATAGTGGTACTTGGGGCTTACACATATCATATATTAGATGTAATCCCTTCCCCCCAAATATTCAACACACCCAAGAAACCATGGGTTAATAGGGGATGAAATCATTTTTTTGTTGGGACCACACACAGTTGGGGTGTTATTCATACGAATGGGGGATGAGAGAAATAAACAACCAAAATTCATCAAAATTCAAAGCAGAATCCCAGCGCAACGCCTCTCCGCCGCAGATTTGTTTGCTGGGCAACCTCTCCCTGGACCCCACCACCCAGCGGAACGACGCTTGCAGCCCTAGCAACGGGAGCTTTGGAGTAGCATTGCCAGATGCTTGGCATCGCTTGGATTCTATGAGATATGATCAGTGATGACATTTGATGTAATTATCTAAGTCTATCTACCTGAATCTACCTGTTTATTTTTATTCCCAAAAGCATCTCCGATGCTTGGGTTCTCGTTTAGTTGCACTCGCCGCGGGGGAGCGAGACTGAGTGGTCGACGGAGATGTGTTGGAAGGAAGGAAGGAAGGAAGGAAGCAAGGAAGCAAGGAAGCAAGGAAGCAAGGAAGCAAGGAAGGAAGGAAGCAAGGAAGCAAGGAAGCAAGGAAGCAAGGAAGCAAGGAAGCAAGGAAGCAAGGAAGCAAGGAAGCAAGGAAGCAAGGAAGCAAGGAAGCAAGGAGGCAAGGAAGCAAGGAAGCAAGGAAGCAAGGAAGCAAGGAAGCAAGGAAGCAAGGAAGCAAGGAAGGGAGGAAGGAAGGGAGGAAGGGAGGAAGGGAGGAAGGAAGGAAGGAAGGAAGGAAAAGGAAGGAAGGAAAAGGAAGGAAGGAAAAGGAAGGAAGGAAAAGGAAGGAAGGAAAAGGAAGGAAGGAA